TAAGACGAACCAGTTTCCATAGAGTTGGTTCCAACTCATGGCCACCCCATGAGCTCTATAGAGTTTTCAGTGGCTAACTGTCTGGAAGTAGATCACCAGTACTTTCTTCTGAGGTTCCCCTGGGTAGAGTTGAACCTCCAACCTTTCAGTTAGCAGCGAGTATATTACCATTTCACCATGCAGGAACTCTAGAAGCAGGACTATTGAAGCAATTCTATACCCCAGTGTGGCTCTCAGTGGTTTTGAAGTAAGAGGGTGGGGAGCAGGGGATAAGGATATAATATACCGATGTTATCAATTAGTGAGCTAAGGTTTCCATATAGGAAAGTACTGAAAAAATACAAACAATGTATACCAAATGATGGATCAATAAAGCTATAGTAATTTAGGGAATGGAAAAATCACTGTGTTAATTTCTATTAATCTTTTTTTTTTTCTGATTATAGATGTTTTTAAAAAATTGAGTTTGTAGAGATAATATATACTATAAAGTTCTCTATATCTGATCTTCTAGAAATAACTACTGATAATACTTTATGTGTATTTTTACAGTTGATATAAACAGTGAATGAATTTTCCTATATATATTTATGCGTTTTGTATTATCTAAGAGAGCTTTTTTTGGAACCCTGGTGGCACAGTGGTTAAGAGATTGGCTGCTAAACAAAAGATCAGCAGTTCGAACCCACCAGCTGCTCCTTGGAAACACTATGGGGCAGTTCTACTCTGTCCTGTGAGTCGGAATTGACTTGATGGCAACAGGTTTGGTTTTTCTTTTTTTTGCTTAGGAGAACTTTCATGATAGATGAGACTTTAAACTCCACCTCGCCTTCCTCCCGCACCCCCCACCCAAAAAAAGAATTCTTGCTTAGAATGGCAGAAAAAAGTAGAGAAGGTCTCCTAGGTCAGAAAACTTTATGAGGAAAGGCACTAGGGAGATGATGTCAGGTCTTCAATGGTGAGATTAAGGACATGAGTTAATCAGGGCATGGGATTTGTGCAGGAGGTGTTGCTGTAAATTTGGATGAGTAAAACAGAACCACCTGTCTTGGTCATCTAGGGCTGCTATAACAAATACCACAAGTGGATGGCTTTAACAAACAGAAATTTATTTTCTCATAGTTAGGAAGCTAGAAGTCCAAATTCAGGGTGCCAGCTCCAGGGAAAGGCTTTCTCTCTGTCAGCTCTGGGGGAAGTTCCTTGTCATCAGTCTTCCCTTGGTCTAGGAGCTTCTCAGTGCAGGGATCCTGGGTCCAAAGGATGTGCTGTTCTCCTGACTCTTGTTTCTTGGTGGTATGAGGTCCCCGTGTCTCTCTGCTCGCTTCTCTCTTTTATATCTCAAAAGAGATTGGCTCAAGACACAACTCAATCTTGTAGATTGAGTCCTGCCTTATTAACATAACTGTTGCTAATCCCATATCATCAACATGTTAGAAATAGTATTTCCAACACATGGGAAAATCACATCAGATGACAAAATGATGGACAGTCACACAATATTGGGAATCATGGCCCAGCCAAGTTGACAGATATTTTGGGGGGACACAGTTCAATCCTTGACACCACCTTATGGAATAAAAGCTCCAACTCATCAGCCTTGGATTTTTATGTTTTATTGCGTAGTTGCAGGACCTTTAGCCAGAAAATCACCTGATACAATTAGCATTTTACAAAGATAAATCTGATAATGTTACACAGGTGAGAGATGAACAATTTAATTTTGGTGGTGATGGTAGTGGTTATATTAATGAGGAAGAAACAGATCTAAAAGCTGTTTTGCAGTCGGTGGAGCATGGTAATTAATTTGGATTTCAGAGAATGAGGGGGAGGAAGAGGCCAAAATGACCCAGAGCACTAAAGGAGCACTAAAGGAATGTGATACTGTGGAAGGAAATGGGAGAACCAGTTTGAGAAGAAGATAACTTTTAGATGTGATGAGGTTTGTGGTGATACGTGAGTATGCCAAGGGAAAGTGACCCATATGCCATTAGAAATAAAGGTTTGTCTAGTGGAGGTGTGGTGTAGCCAGGGTCAGAGACCAGAAGAAGGATGATCTTCTAAAAGAGGCAAAGGAGAACTCCAGAAAGGCAGAAAAAGAACCATAAAAGTGATCATTTGGGCAACAGTGGTTGTTTATTAAAATGGAAGTTTAAGGCTCTTTACAACAATATTGTAAATTAAAATGCTATGGTAAATAATAAATAGAGTCTATTTTTAAAATTAGATAATTCATTTTCATTTGAGAATTAGAAAAATATTGAGAAACAAAAAGAAAATATAATCAACCCAGAGATCATTTTTTATATTGTTTACTTAGTTACCATTTACATTTAGGTATATGTCCTGTTTACTTTTTTCCCTGTATGTGTATGTTTATGTGTGTATGAGTCAAAAATAACATTCTGCGTATGAGTGTATAATACATATTACAAAAACAGGTTAAGAATTGTTGAATTTCACATGTTAAAGTATTGCATACTACAAAATGACCCTGGTGATCTTGTGTCAGAAAGCAACCTGTCAGAGACTAATGGGTTTGTCAAAAGGACAGGAACCAACATAAAGGGTCTCCCATTGGATAAAGATGTGACATTTTGATCGCCAGTAAGAATAATGACTGCAGTTGATTGAAACCCATTGATTCATGAGTTCTTAATGATAGGAAGGAAGGAAGGAGGGAGGAAAGAGAGAGAGGAAGAAAGAAAGAAGCTGAGTGGTTGAAGTCTCTCATGTGGGTGCTGTTAAATGGCAGTTGAGGCTGGAGTCATCTAAAGGCTCAGTTGGGTTGGACCTCCAAGAGGGGCACATGCACATGGCTGGCAGTTGATGCTGACTCTTCTGGGAGCTCAGCTGGTGTTGTCTATAGAGTGCTGTTATTGTTAGCTGTCCCCAAGTTGGCTCCTGACTTCTGATGTGACGGCAGATGACCCCATGCACAATGGAATGCGACTCTACCAGCTCCTGCACCATCCCCATAATTGGTTGTGAATCGAAGTGTTGTAATCCATAGGGTTTTCACTGGCTGATTTTCAGAAGTAGATCGCTAGGCCTTTCTTCCTAGTCCATCTTAGTCTAGAAGGTCCACCAAAACCTATTCAACATCATAAACATCATCCAAAAACCCATTGCCATCCAGTCAATTCTGACTGATAGCCACCCTATTAGGGTTTCCAAGGCTGTAAATCTTTACAGAAGCAGATTGTCACATCTTTCTTCTGCAGCGTTTGGTGGGTTCGAACCACTGAATTTTTGGTTAGCAGCTGAGGGCTTAACCACTTCACCACCAAGGCTCCTTATGAGTATCGTAACAGCACCCAAACCACCACTGACATATGGGTAGTAGCTGTGCATAGGGTGCATTGCCAGCTATCGAACCCGGGCCTCCTGCATGGAAAGTGAGAATTCTACCACTGAGCCACCAATGCCTATATGTGACCCTGTATATAGCTTGGGCTTCTCACAGCCTGACAACTGTTTTCTGAGAGGGAGCATCCCAAGAGCGAGCATTCCAAAAGACCATTCTATAAGAAGCTTCAAGGCTTCTTATGACCTAGCCTCAGGAGACCCAGAACATCACTTCCATTGCCTTCTGTTGATCAAGCAAGTCACTTAAGCCAGCCAGGATTTAAGGGGAAAGGAATAAGACTCCACCTCTTGATAAGAGGAGCATTATGTACATGCAGGAAGGGAAGGAATTGATGATACTCATCTTTCGAATCTGTCTACCACATCTTGATTTGTCAGTTTTAGATAGCATCTATTATCTTCTTGCTATGATGGATAAAGATTTAACTCTCACAGCTCTATTTCTCTTCCCTTCTTCCTTCCAATATTGTTATAGTTTTAGTTCTTTGTTACTTTTAAAACCTTAAATACCTTTATTTCTGGTTCTGTAGGACTTCTTGATACTTTTTAAGGTGAAGGTATTAGTGCTTCTGCCTCCCTTCTACTACTCTCCCAGTTTGCTCTCTGTTTCTGTCATTTGTATTTGTGTTTTTGTATTGCCCATATTTTAAAATATTTATATTTTATTTAGTAATCATACTAAGTTTCCCTTTATCTCTAGTTGATAACATAGGAAGTCAATAAAGGGTTTATTTTGATTATATTAAAGTAAGTTTGTTTCACAACCAGGATTGCATTTCCTATCTAATTCTTAGAGTTTCTAATTGCCTTTCATTTTTTCTTGCATTATCTGCCTTTATCACATATTTGAGTTGCTGCATTTCTCAGGGATGGTATCAAAGCTCTGAAATAACTTTTCTCAGATTCCTGCTCCCCAAGCTCTCCATCCTTTTGCTCCAGTCTAAACAGGCTGCTGTCTAGGTCTGCTGCCTAGCGGCCTGGGGCTTCCTTTCTTTCATTACTCTCCTGGGTTGGAGTCTTTGTTTCCTGGATCCCATGTCCTTAACTTTCTAGGTTTACTCACTCGTTCTTCTGCAGCCTATTCTCAAATAATTTCCTAAGAAAGGGTGTGAAGGCCGTAAACTCTGAGTGATTTTTGCAAGTTCTGCAATTGTTTTTATTCTCACACTGTCTGGTTCCATCCTTATATCTTTTGGTGGCATATGGAGATGTAATATATTTAGCCAATTCCCTATTGTTATGTGTTTCTTTGTTCTAAGTTTCGTTGTTATGTATAACTCTGAGTGAGCATCCTTAGATCTTCATATTTGTGTACATGAATAATTACTACTAATATTACTAATGGTTATTTGCAGCAGTCATTAGTTCAACTTGAGACAACTATTGCAACCTGTCTAAGTGAATATTATGTACAATATGCCATCTTTTAAAAATGGTATAGAATCCCAAGTATATTTCTAAGTCCTCAAAAAGAATATATAATCTGTTTGCCCGTAGAAGGTAGAAAACGCTTCAGTTTGTTTTGATATTAAGAGTGTCATTTTATGCTGAGAAGCTGTTGAGTGCTTCTTCAGTATTTAGAGTTTTTGATAAGAATGTTATAGCTGATACTGTATTTTATGTTTATTTTCCAGAAGGATGGAGTACTGGTATACATTGGGAATTTTCGTCTGATAGCAGAGCTTTCCAGCCCATTTGTGAATCAGCGGTAGGTTACTGATATCATTATTTTAAAGTTGTGCTGTTTATTTTTAGTTTGAGGAAAGAGTTTTCCTTGATCCTAAAGCTACTATATAAAAAATGGACATACGTAATATGAATTATTACCACCATTGTACAGATGAGGAAGCTGAGGCTTGGAAAGGTTAGAGTAACTTTTCAGACTCCCGAGCTAGTAAGTTGACTCGATGGCAGTGGGTTTGGTTTTTAGGTTTTTAGCTAGTAAGTGGTGGTGTTAGCCTTTTAACCTAGCTGTCTTTGCAGCATGACAATGCTTTATTATACTTTCATCCAGTGCATTTGTTATGGATTGAATTGTGTACCCCACAAATGTGTGTCAGCTTGACTAAGCCATGTTTCCCAGTATTGTGTGGGTGTCCTCCATTTTGTGATCTGATATAATTATCTCATGTGCTGTAAATCTTAACGTCTATGATGTTAATGAGACAGGATTAGAGGCAGTTATGTTAATGAGGTGGGACACAGTCTACAGGATTAGGTCATATCTTGAGTCAATCTCTTTTGAGGGATAAAAGAGAAGGAAGCAGAGAGGAGAGGGACCTCATTACCACCAAGCAAGAAGTTCCAGAAGCAGAGCACCCAGCATCCCTGTGCTGAGAAGCTCCTAGACCAGGGGAAGATTGATGACAAGGACCTTCCCCCAGAGCTGACAGAGAGAAAGCCTTTCTCTGGAGCTGGCACCCTGAATTTGGATTTCTGTCCTCCTAAACTGTGAGAGAATAAATTTCTGTTTGTTAAAGCCATCCACTTGTGGTATTTCTGTTATAGCAGCACTAGATAACTAAGACAGCATTCTTACACCCTTATAATGTATGCTGCAGGATGAACTATGTTCCCCGAATCTTAGGATTCATTGGGGTTCTTCACGGGAAAGAATATAATCTACTTCAGTTCATCTTGGGGTCATTCCTATCCCTGAATTCAGCTTCCTCCTGTACCAAATTTCTGATGTCAACATTCTCTTAGTCCCTCACTTTTTAAAAATAAACGGTTTATTTTACATATACAAAAAAGTTGTGAAGTTAGCACAGAGAGTTCCCATATACCGCTCACCTAGTTTCCCCTATTTTTAACGTCTTACATTGCCATGGTACAGTTGTCAAAGCTAAGAAACCAGCATTGATACATTACTATTAACTAAACTTGAGACTTTACTGGATTGCATCAGTTTTTCCACTAGCGTCCTCTCTCTGTTTCAGGATGTAATCCAGGGTGCCACATTACATTAGGTTGTCATGTCTGCCCAGTCTCCTCTGGGTTTGTGACATATTCTTACTCTTTCCTTGGCCTTGTCAATACTGGCCAGATGTCCTGTAGAATGTCCCCTAATCTGGGTTTTTCTGATGTTTTTTTCATGATGAGTTAGAGGTCATGGGTTTTTTGGAAAGAATACCACAGAGGTGAAGTACTCTTCTTGTCATATCCTGTCAGTGATAACATGACATCACTGGTGATATAAACCTTTATCACTTCGTTCAGGTAGTGTCTTCCAGGTTTCTCCAGTGCAAAGCTTTCCCCTTTCCGTACTCTTTGAAAGCAAGTCATGAAGTCTAGCCTACTCTCAAGTGAGGAAGTTACTCTCCCCCTCCTGAAGGGATGTAGGTGCTTACTTTTGACGTGGATTTATTGTTAACCTTTGTTGCCCGGATCTGGTCAGTCTGCTGATTTTTTTTTTTTTTTTTCCTGTGAAATGTTTAACTGTTCCTTTCTCTCTGTATCTATTGACATGGTCCTAGTTTAGCGCCTTCAGAATCTCCAAGGTTTGATTACAGCAATAACTTCAACTAATTTCCCTAATTCCAGATTAACCTTATCCAGAATGCTTTCCTCACAGTGCAATCAGAGTAATATTTCTCATGTTCCACTGTCAGTATCTTATTTTTTTATTAAAAAAATAAACAAAAAACAAAGACCCTGCATTCTGCTTAGACTCTTCCCTCTGACTTGCCAAGTTCTCTGTGATGGGCGCCTACCCTGTGTCTCCAGCTTTATTTACTGCTTGTTACAGTCAGGTTTGTACTCCTACTGTCCCATGCACCTGTGGGTTGTTCTTGCCTTTCTTCCTTTTATTCATAGCCTCCATTTCCCCTCCATCTTTGCAAAATTTACTTGCCTTTCAAGCCTTAATTCAAAATCCTAAACCAAGGTGTCTTAGTTAGCTGCGCTGCTGTAACAGAAGTACCACAGGTGGGTGGTTTTAAACAGCAGAAATTATTTTCTCACAGTTCTGCAGGCTAAAAGTCCAAATCAAGGCCTTGACCGTGTGGATTCCTTCCTTGTCAGTAGCCCTGGGCATTCCTTGGTGATCCTTACATGGCATCTGTCTTCCCTAGTACATGCTCAATTCTGTGTCTGATCTGCTCTTTTTATAACTCAGAAGTGATTAGGTTTAGGACACACCCTGCACTGGCATGACCTTATTAACATAACAAAGAAAACTCTATGCCCAAATGGGATTACATCCACAGGTATAGGGTTTAGGATTCCCATACATATTTAGGGGGGCACACTTCAATCCATAACAGTGGGGAAGGATTGATATATGTAGCCTTTCATGATTTAGTACAGGGATAACAGAGGATTGGGAAGGTGAGTTAGAGAGCTTACCCTGTATCAAGCTTTACTAATGATTTAAAGGATCCAGGTAAGCATGAGGCACAAGCAAAGCAGGGAGAGGCTCAGGACCATCAGTATGGCTCCCTAGGTCCTTTTTGCATTGGGCAAGTTCTTGAGCACGATGACCTGTGTGGTCTCTAAGCAACGTGCGCATTCACATCTCTGACACAGAAGGAGTGCTCTTGGTTATAAAGCATCTCCATTTCATACTCAGATAGTTACACAGCTTAAATGCATACATTCCAGGTTTAGCATAACCAATCCTAGGCTAGGTATATCCTGCTAGAAGCATTCCATGGATGAAGACTCTCCTACTACAGATACCATTAGTCTATCAGGAGGTCTGTTATTAGTATGCTTATCAGGAGATTAGCCTGAATCACCCATCTTTTTTCTTACTTAGGGGGTCATCCCAGAATAGGAGAGAATGGATTGCAGATCTGCTGCGTAACCTTTTCTTTCCCAAGTACTTATATACTGTCTTATTTTCTTTGCTGTTGTTTTGAATATTGTAATCTTATTTCTTCAAGAAGACAGTTGCTAGTGCTTGAGCCCAGTTTTAAAATCCTCAAAAACTCTCATAATGTGAAAGTGGAAGCATATAAGGGGAAAGACCATCTTCTTTGAAGTCTAAAGACTTGGATTCAAATCCAAACTCTCCCACTTACCATTGTCTGCGAGTGCAAGTTGTTTAACCTCCCTGAGTGTCAGTTTTCATATCTATAAAATGGAGAAGATGATACCTACAGGCCTCATAGGCTGTTGTGAAGATAAAATGAGATTATATATGTAAAGCACCTGGCATAATGTTTGTCATTGAGTATATATTCAATAAGTGCTAAATCTAACATATACTCAGTATGTTAAAACCTAGCAAACACTGAAAGTGCACAGTTTATATTTGCTGTCTCATATCCTTTATATCCTCGTTGCTCTTCAACCCAGTATAGTTAGGCTTCTGCTTCTGCATTTTCTTGAAACTGTTCATTAAAGTTACCTTTGACTTCCAGTTGCAAAATCCAATGAGTTGTTCTTGGTGTCTGTCATAGGACTTGATGCTGCTGGTCACACCCTTCTTCTAATGCTGCACTCCCCTTGCTTTCATGGCATTGCCCTCGCCTCATTCTCCTTCCTTTTCCCTGACCATCCCCTCTCAGGAGACAGTTTGTTAAATGATTGTGCTCCCCAGGGACTCTCTTCTGGGCCACTGACTTTCTGCTGGGGTGAGCTCTTCCACTCCCAAAGTTTCAAGTTATTAACTATTTGCTGATATTGGTTTAATGGACTGTGCATGAGTTTTGAAATCAGATAAACTCAAGTTAGAATTTAACTTTGCCACTCCCTATGACCTTGGGCAAGTTATTTAACATTCCTGTAACACAGTTGCTTTCTCTTCTTAAAAAAAAAAAGCATATTAGTATTGTTGTTGTTTGCTATTGAGTTGATTCCGACTCATAGTGACTCTATAGGACAGAGTAGAACAGCCCCAAGGTTTCCAAGGCAGTAATCTTTTTTTTTTTTTAATTGTGCTTTAGGTGAAAGTTTACACCTCAAGTTAGTTTCTCATACAAAAATTTGTACACACATTGTTATGTGACCCTAGTTGCTATCCCTATAATGTGACTGCACATTCCTCCTTTCCACCCTGTATTTCCTGTGTTCATTCAACCAGCTCCTATACCTTTCTGCCTTCTTATTTTGCCTCCAGACAGGAGCTGTCCATTTAGTCTCGTGTGTTTACTTGAACTGAGAAACACACTCTTCATGAGTATCATTTTATGTCTTACAGTCCAGTCTATTGTTTGTCTGAAGAGTTGGCTTCAGGAATGGTTTCAGTTTTGGGCTAACAGAGAGTCCAGGGGCCATGTCTTCTGGGGTCCTTCCAAGTCTCAGTCAGACCATTAAGTCTGGTCTTTTTACTAGAATTTGAGTTCTGCACCCTACTTTTCTCCTGCTCTGTCAGGGACTCTCTGTTATGTTCCCTGTCAGAGCCGTCATTGATGGTACCAAGGCTGTAATCTTTATGGAAGCACACTGCTACATCTTTCTTCCGAGGAGCTGCTGGTGGGTTTGAACCACCTACCTTTCGGTTAACAGCTGAGGGCTTAACCACTTTGCCACCAGGGCTCCCATATTAATGTTACCTACCTCTTAGTATTATAGTCGTGTTTTCTCCTCTCAGGTGGCACATCAAGTTTTCACGTCTAAAATAGAATGCGAAGGAGCCGCGGTGGGGCAGTGGTTAAGCGCTCGGCTGCTAATGGGAAGGGTGGCGGTTTGAATTCACCACCGATCTGTAGGAGAAAGCTGTGGCAGTCTGCTTCCATAAAGATTACAGCCTTGGAACTCCTA